AGTCTGTTGTTGTTGCTTTTGTGGTGAAGGTAGATGTTGCTGTGCTGGCATTACATTTTGTTGTAGACTTTGTTGAGATGTTGTTAATATACTCTGATTCACTGGGTGCTGGTATGTTAAGTCTTTCAACATGGCTCTTTGATATTGCTGCTGCTGCTGCTGTTGTTGTAATACCACATTTTGTTTTTGTTGCTGTGACATCACATTCTGTTGCTGATGTGATATCACATTTGGAAGTTGTTGTGTTTGCTGGAAGATCGGTTGTTGTTGTTGAAATGTTGGGGGTTGTTGCAACATTTGATATTGCTGTGGTATTAATATACTTCTGTTGCAGACAGGATAATGATAAAAGTTCTGAAACTGTTGTGGTTGCTGTTGTGGTATAAATTGTTGTTGTTGCAAATATTGTACAGGATAGTTGAGTTGTTGTTGGTGTTGTTGAAATCCAATCAAACCGCTGGGATTGTTGTTGACAGGCGTATTGTTGTTAACATACAACAAATTGCCATTGCTGATGTTGTTGTTGTTTGGAATGACTAATAAATATTTGGGCTCTGTTGGAGTCACGATGCTGTTAGTGCTGGAGTTGCTGTTGCTGATGGCGTTGTAGTTACTGCTATAAATGTTAGTGTCAGCAGCAATGATGTTCTTGTTGATGTTGTAGTAGCTGCTGAAGATGTTGCTGTCGTTGTTGATGTTATTGTCGTTGGTGCTGCTAAGTGCTAAGCTAAGCGTATTTAGTTCTGGACCTACAGGCCTTTCCAAATTAGCGGAAGCTGTAGAAGTGACAGCTGCATTAGCAGTATGATAGAATTGAACCAGCTGCTGCGCAAGCTGTACCTTCTCTTCAGCCGTTAGCTGGGCTATTTGCTGAGAAAGCTGCTGCCTCTGCTGCTGCAAAAGTTGCTCCTTCTGGAAAAATTGACGAAGATTTTCGAAGAGTTGTTCATTATGTTGTTGATGTTGTTGTTGTGGCAGTTGATGTGGTCCCTGTTCTTGGTTTTGTAGTTGTTGATGTGATGAAAGTCGATTTTGTTGTTGTTGTTGATGCTGCAGTTGATTTTGAACAAATGAAACATCAAATTTTGCACCAGCATCACCGTCAGCTCCATTAAAACGTAGCGTCGTATGACAAGCAGAC